GGGATATTCTTCGTCCTTATCGACTGAAACCATCGTAAGGGAAACTACTCAATTGTTCGCCCTCGATCACGTGGATTACGAAGAGTCTTTAAAGGTTATGATTGAGTACATCTCAATACATCCCTTTGCCATCCCACTCACCAGAAATACAAAACCCAAATTTCCCTATGAGATTGTTGCATAAAGCGTTTAAACGAGTCATGTTTGAAGATGGAGTTCTAGAATGCAAGATCACTAATGATCGTATCGTCCCCATTCACAAAGAAAATTTCATTTGTTCCATTGGAGTTTCAGAAAACCCTCAAGGTTTTCGAGTGGTTGAACCCTCATCTGAAGAATTTCAACATTTTCTTACTCAAATCGGGTACAAATGGGAATTTAATGAGAAAGAGTTCAAGAAATTTGCGGTTCCGGGAATTTGGACCATTCTTATGCATTTCATTCTCAAAGGCTTATCCGAAAAGCAAGGCGGCACATACACCTTAAGAAAAGATTCACTCTATGTTGTATACAATATCTTTACTGTCCGATCAAATGTCGTCTAGAAGTTCTATTGCAAGATATCATGAAGTTCACTAAAAAGAGGAAGACGAACAAGATCCCTAGTCCAAGATTTTGGGATCTGACTCTACAACAGCTGTATTTGGAACATTTTGAAGCCATTCCGCTCAATTCAGATATGTCTGAGGTATACTTAACCTTTAAAGCAATTAAACCTTACAAGTTTCCTAATCAAGCTCCATTCAGAGCTACCGACGTCTTCCCTAACAAATTTTGAACACTAATCCTTCCAATTGTCCTCATTTAAAACATCATATAGAGACTTCGGTTGTACTTAAATCAATGTAACCTGTCCTAGTTTCAGATGAACTGCCCTCGGAAGAGAATAAACCAACTAATATGAAGGCCAGAAAAAAGAAATTGCTGAAAAGCAAAAGGCACCCTTCTAAACCTAAGGCCCAAAAGAAAACCAAAGCCGATGGATTCTCTCAAAGGGATTCACAGATCGGATCTCGACCTGAATTTGGGTCACTGCCTACCCCACCCACCCACTCTTCTGAAGTACCTTTCAGAGTTTCAAAGTCATACGCTACACACACTCACAGGGAGTCTGCCCATAATCTACCCCGATCCTCCCAACAGGGTGGTGTTGGTATTAAACCAAGTTACTTAAAGCCCCGTAGGAGACACTCACGAGTCAACTTGAATCATCCTCTTCCTTTTTCACAAGCATAATCAGTGGCCCCTGCCACAGGTTCCTATCTTTCTGAGTCTGAAGTAGTCCCTCCAACCTCGAAAGGCACAATCGATCTGATACCCCCATGGGTAAAGGAAAATCAAGTATTTTTATTGATGATTGGATTGATGTTGTTGATAGTGCTCATTCAAGGCATCTAGAGCTCATAAGACATCAAGTGGAATATACTCTCCTTGGAATGCATCATCGAGTAATCTGAAGTCATATTCCTTTCACCATTCCATCAGATGCATAAGTTCATCATCTTCTTCAACCCCCCATTGATTCCTTGGAGAAGAATCCAAGTGCAGATGTTCCTAGTCCTAATGAAACTTTGGAGGATCCTCCTCGGAAAGAAGTTTCTAAAGAACATGTTCCTGTTTCAACTCTTTTCTCAGATGACCCCAAGCCAGATTATGATGACCACCACTCCGAAGAAATCATGTTCGAAAATGATACCACCTTTGTTGGTGCCATTCCACTTCATTCCACTTACAATATGCTTCAAAAAGCCACCTCCCCCAAAGATCACTTTGATTTCAGTCTCTCTTCAATCTCGGACGAAATAGAAGTGGACAACAACATTGGTCCCAGGCAAGCAGCAAAAGCATATGGTGATCAAGGCGATCAAGTTCAAGGTAATCAAGGCAATGACACTATGGTTATTTGAAGATTCTACGGATAATGATGATCATGATGAAAGATATGAAAGCTCCACTTCGGACACAGGATTCTCGGATAAACAAATAGCTAATCTTTTTTCTCTCCTAGAACTCTAAGATAACGTCGCAAAATATAATTCAAAAGTAGACATTATAACTACCAAAGTCATATCTCTTGATAGAAAATTCAACTTGGTGATAAAATCTCTTTCCCATATCAGTGCATCTGCTCCCTCGGAAATTAACAGGGCCAATCATTCGGATCAACTTATCTCACACCGACTGAAGCACGCTTTGGAGGAAGCTGAACAACGCTACAGAGACAATCTCGACCATCATATCTCCACTACCTCTACGATGCTGAAGATCCACGACGACATGATTTCTGCTACCAATGAGCTTCTCAAGTAGACCCATGTTTGTCATGAAAAACAAATCCAACGTTTGGAGAAGGAGATCAAACAAAAATATGGAATGAATATGATTATGCAAGAGGTTATCCTTAAGGTCATTCGCTTTGGTCAATACTTTGTGGACACTCCGAACCACAAGTTTGACAAACTCTTGTTGATCATGGAAGAAACTTTCGACACTCTCAAAGCCCAAGCTCCAACTGTTGATGTCTATGATAAGTTTTCCAAGTAAATCAACATGAGATTAAAATGGGTATTTGAAAAGATAGACGATTTGAAACCTGATGCGTTGCTTGCATTGGAACTAGGCCTTCCTATACAAGAGGGGGATAAAAACTACTTCAATGGAAACCAATCTCAGAATTCCAGCTCCACGATGAGACAACCGATGAAGAAATTGTTGAATTTGAAGAGTTTGAAAGAGAAGACAAATTTGATGAAAACGACCTAGTGAGAAATGCAATTCTCAGACTCCAACCTATCAAGGAATAACCATCCTTCACCAAAATCCTCTCGGAAGAGGAGAAGAAAAAATGGTCCTTTGTGTTGGCCATCAAATCTAGCTAAATCTTTTAACCGGAGTCGTGAAATGGTTAAGTTAAAAACCAAGGCAACAGCTGATGCATTGTAAGCCACTCAATCAAATGCCTCATCCCCTTCCTGCTATGAGAATAGTTCCAATTGATGAAGGTTCCCAAATCCAGAAAGGAGATGACTTACCGGTTGAGTCTTTGGTTCCTCCTCTATCAGAATTGTTCGTTATTAAAGCTGGTCAAAAATCATCTCCTCCATTCTGGTAGATACAGTCAAAGACAAAGGGAAAAGGATCGTATTCGAATCAAACAGTCCAATGAAGTCGTCAAAAAAGTATGAGGGTTAGTCAAAAGAATAAATTACGCAAGCTTTTAAGAAAAGCATTCAGATTCAAGGGTTAAAAGATAATCCCAATCTAATGATAGGAATTTATCCATTTTTACGAGAAGGCATTTTACATGATGTTAATTTTATGCCTTTCATGAGTTTCGCTCTCCCAGAAAATGACTCGGAACAACTTGACCTACCAATCTCTCCTCGTGGACGTTTTTATGTCAAGTTTAAACCATTGCATCCATCATATGATCCAAAAACTATCATCCGAACTGAACAAGAGAGATTGAGTACCTTTTATTCCATGAATGCACGACCTCAAAAAGATGTATGGTCCCGAAAGAGGATTACAAATTTCGTTGGCTATGGAAGAAAGTTCAAGACTAAGTATGATCTTAACTATCTTCTCTATCTTTACTACGTATCTCGGAACAAACAAGCCACCATCACAATCACTGATGTAGATTTCCACCGATAAATGTAAATTACATTCTATTCATTGTTGCTCATTGTTAGAATTAAAAAGGCTGATAGATTCTATATTATAAAATGAAGTATGAAATGAATCAAATACATGGAATGATAATGATTGAAAAGAGTTGGATCTTCATTCACTTAGCATTAGAATAATTTGTCTACAAGTTCAAAACTATTCTTTCAATGCTAGGAAAATACTTCTGAGAAATACAACTACAACATCCTATTTGTAGACATAAAACATAACAAATCCGAAAATAGACATGCCCATTTCAGAATTGGAACTAGACAAAATTCTGAAAACAGATACTTTGACACAACACCAATAAAGACTTAACAATCTCCCCCTTTGTGACAAATCAGAATGATGTAGAATTTCTTACTTCTGATCTTCAAGAATCTTTTCCATAATCTTCATAATGGATCCAAGAAAAAAAAAGATACCAGCTGATCATATCGGAAACACGTTTGACATCGGCAACAGAATTGGATTTGTTTGCTTCGACCGAAGATACGATTGTTTTCAGAGCATTTGTAGAGTACAAGTGTTTATCCCTTAGAAAGAACATGCAGTTCTTAATCACTTCTCCTTCCTTCCTCTTGTAGACAATGCTCCAGTGTTTCTTGTTAATCAATACTCCCTTCAGATTTTCAATATTTTGGGGTTGATTAACAAGTTTCAACATATGTCTTCTTTTTAGAACTGAAGCAATTTCAACATCCATCTTCGCCATCTCCTAGATATAACATTTGATCATCCTCCCGAAATGTTCATATATTAGCTCGAACTTCTTTAAATCCTTTGAAACAATGTAGAATAAGGAAATCCAATCATGGGGGGTTCATAAATGGCAGATCAGTTACTGTGAACTCATGTAGAATATGAATATGACCTCAGAATCCTTTGAATTTAATGTTCAAAAAGTCTTCTGTTTGAACAGGCAGTCCAACCTTCAGGGCCACAATTATGTTTAGAATCCAAGAATAGTAATGAGGTTTCACATATTTTAGATAAAATGAGAAGATTTTTCTATTTATTGCGTTGTTGGAGATTAAGGATGTTTCTATCTTCTCAAAACATCCTAAGATAAATGCCATTGGTGTAATCGGGAAATCAAGCTGACACTCTATTTCATTCTTGATGTCTAAAGAGGTTTTTGGTTCCAACCAAACGTATTTGGCTCATCAATAGCTTCCTTCTGCATTCGTTCAAGAGTCCAAGCCTAAAATAAAGCTTTCTTATTCTCAAGAACCATTTCTGAATTCCTGGCTTCGGCCTCTTCAGCATCTAACTTTTTCATGTGGGTAATTAGTTCATCAAGTTCCTTATCCCTCTTCTCCTTTTCAATTTTTTTCTTTCTGAGTCAACGTCGGATCATCCTCAGTAACTTTTTTCGAATTGATGTTGACTCTGCCCTTTCCAGATCCTGAGGATACATGGTCCCTCTGACTAGTCTTGACCTCCTTGATATTCTTAAATTTTTCTTCCAGAGGTCTCTTTTCCAACTTGATTGAATCAGCATCACTGGTTTTCTTGATAAAGCCCGTCTGATATGGACTGTCAATGTTTACGTCTGGTTCTCCCCGTTGTTGCGAAGAAGTCGTGCTTCTCATAACAATTGTAATCTCGTTAAGCCTCTCAAACACTGGCTTTAGCTTCTCACCGAGAACCTAACCAATATAGGCAGCGAACAGAGCATCTCGTGATTCAACGATATGTAACAAGCATTGGTTGATTTCGAAGTTGCGTCCTTGAACCAAAAGTTTTTCTTCTTCAAGCTTTGCAATATTGAGAGATGTGTGCTTTAATTTTTCTTGCAACACTTTTGTTTTATTGTTAGAGTTCAAAAGACCGATAGATTATATATTATAAAATGAAGTATGAAATGAATCAAAGACTTGGAATGATAATGATTAAAAAGAGTTGGATCTTCATTCACTTAGCATTAGAACAATTCGTTTACAAGTTCGGAACTATTCTTTCAATGCTAGGAAAAGACTTCTGAGAAAGACAACTACAATGTGCTATTCATAGACATAAAACATAACGATTTCAGAAATAGACATGCCCATTTCAGAATTGGAACAAGAGAAAATTCCGAAAGCAACTACTTTGACACAACACCAGTAAAGACTTAACAATCTCCCTCTTTGTGTCAAATGGAATGATGTAGAATTTATTACTTCTGATCTTCAAAAATCTTCGCCATAACCTTCAGAATGGATCCATGGACAGAAAGATACTAGCGGATCATATCGGAAACACATTTCACATCGTCATCATAATTGGATTTGTTTGCTTCGGCCGAAGATAAGATTGTTTTCAGAGCATTTCTAGAATACATGTGTTTATCCCTCAAAAAGAAGATGCAGTTCTTAATCACCTTTCCTTCCTTCCTCTTGTAGACAATGCTCCAATGTTTCTTGTTAATCAATCCTCCCTTCACATTTTTAATATTTTGGGGTTGATCAGTAGGCTTCAATATAGGTCTTCTTTTCAGAACTGAAAGGATTTCCACATCCATCTTCGCCATCTCCTGGATATAACATTTGATCATTCTCCTCAAATGTTCATAAATTACTTATTTAGATCCTTTGCAACAATGTAGAATAACAAAATCCAATCATAGGGTTTCATAAATGGCCGATCAGCTAATGTGAACTCATGAAGAATATGATCATGACCTCGTAATCCTTCGAATTGAATGTTCAGAAAGTCTTTTGTTTGAACAAGTAGTCTAACCTTCAGAGCCACGGTTCTGTTCAGACTCCAAGAATCGTACTGAGGTTTCACATATTTCAGATAAAATGAGAAGAGCTTTCTGTTTGTTGCGTTGTTAGAGATTCAGGATGTTTCTATCTTCTCAAAACATCTGAAGAGAAAGGCCCTTGGTTTGATCGGGAAATCAAGCTGACACTCTATTTCATTCTTGATGTTAAAAGAGGTTTTTGGTTCCAACCAAAAAGTATTTGGCTCATCAATAGCTTCCTTCTGCATTCGTTCAAGAGTCCATGCCGGAAATAAAGCTTTCTTATTCTCAAGAATCATTTCTGAATTCCTGGCTGCGATTTCTTCAGCATCTAACTTTTTCCTGAGGGAATTGAGTTCATCAAGTTCCTTATTCCTCTTCTCTCTTTCAACTTTTTCTTTCTGAGTCAATGTTAGATTATCCTGAGTTACGTTTTCCGAATTGATGTCGACTCTTCCCTTTCCAGATCTTGAGGATACATGGTCCCTCTGACCCGCTTTGACCTCCTTGATATTGTTAAAATTTTCTTCCATAGTTCTCTTTTCCAACATGACTTAATTAGCATCACTGGTTTTCTTCATAAATCCCGTCTGATATAGATTGTCAATGTTTACATCTGGTTCTCCCCCTTGTTGCGAAGAAGTTGTGCTTCTCGTAGCAATTTTAATCTCATTAAGCCTCCCAAACACTGGATTAAGCTTCTCACTAAGAATCTGACCAATATAGTTAGTGAACGAAGCATCTCGTGATTCAATGATATGTAACAAGTGTTGGTTGATTTGAAGTTGCGTCCTTGAAAAAAAAGTTTTTCTTCTTCAAGCTTTGCAATATTAAGAGATGTGTGCTTTAATTTTTCTTGCAACACTTTTGTTTTCTGAGTTTGCTCAGCCAATGCATCCATAATTTTATTCTCAACTGCCAAATCATTCTATAATATGAGAATTCTTTTAGAGAAGGGTGTATGAAAATCAACATTGTCTTTTTGAATTCCGAATTGGAGGCTAGATAGAGCTTCTTTTTCTGTTTGTAAAGAAGTCTGAAAACCTTCAATCACCTTGTTTATATCATCTGTATTTTTATCAGAAGAGGTTCTGAAGTCAGACATGAACTCTTGGACTTCCTTTATCAATTTATTGACTTTCTCTGTGGCTTCTCTAATTTTCCGTTCTAAAGCTTGAGCAGTTTTTATTGTTTCTTCAAGAGCCTTATAATTTTGTTGACGTTAGCATTTCCACCGTTGCCCTATGAGTCGTCAACAAATTTTCCCATTTTGTGGAAGAAATGGCATTCGTGTGCTCAAAAACAAAGTCAAGATTTTTATTCATTTCCTTGAATTGACATTTTGTCATGTGGGCATCATCATTATCAGTATCTATATGGATGGTAAATAGGTGGAAGACAAAATCATCAAGGGGTTCTTGATCAACCCCAAATAAAATATCAGCATCCTCATGCACAGGTGGTGTAACAGATGAAAATGGTTCCAATGACACACCAATATTGGCATTTGGCCCCACATCAGATGTGGTACCAGGGATGCCTGAAGTCCTTATCTCCTCCGAAATGGATTTGATAATAGGAACTTCTAGTGGAGTTGTTGTAGGAACGGTTGAATCTGTGAAAATTAGAGTTGAAAAAGAGATTGAAATCTGAGGTTGAGATGTTTCAGCAGAACTCATCATTGGTAGTGAAAGAATGGAGGATATTGGAATGGAAGTTGTAAGAGGTGATGTTGACATGGGTAAAGTTGGTGGACTAAATGGAGGTGGAGGAGGAGGAGTGGTGAGATTCAGAAATGGTTCCTTCATGATAGTTTCAAAATTATCAGATTTTCGATGATGATGGAGGAGAAGATTGTTGGATAAGGTGTCTAAGTCCATAACTATTTCTGGTATGTACTTGACCCGACCCGGCATGGTCCATTTGGGTTGCATGGCATCATGCATTTGGATAGACTAAATGAGAGAAATAACACTTGTGTTTTATTAATATATTATAAGTTCTAATATATTAATAGTATTATTTAATTAGTATTGATCAAGAATTAATCTAGGATTAATTAAGTGATCAAAAGATGACTAATTAAATATATGGGTTGATCATGTAAATCATCCATAACTTGTATAGTGGGCTAAAAGGCTCCATGGATAATCAAGTTGGGTTAAACCCATTGAATGCTCCATGGAGGCTCCATGGGAGTTACAAACCCATGGGTCATGGAAATGAAGAGTCATGCCACATTAGGGTTTACATGGTGTAACCCTAGATGTGACACACTATATAAGCAACATGTTCTCCACCAAAATCGGCGACACATAAGAAACAAGAGGGCTAGAGCCGATTTTTCAAGTGTAAGATTCTCTCAAAGTTTACTCCTTTGCATTTGGTGTTGTGTGAAGCATTTGAGGCATCACACTTGGGGTGCTAGGCTCACAAGGTTTCAAGGATCATAATCAACAACAAGGTAAGTTATTCTATCTTTCATTCAAGTTAAAAATGTTCCCCATGTATGCTAGATAGGAATATAAGCTTGGAATTCAACTTTGCATGATTATTAGACAAACATAGATCCAAGGTTATTAGGGTTGCATGTACACTTAGGAAGTGTTAGAATGCTCAAAACCCATCAGTGGTATCAGCGCATGGTTCGTTTGTTGTTTTTTTTTGTGTGCAAACAGCTTGAAAAAAAATCGTTTTTCTGTTTTCTGCTCGTATGAAAGTTTGCACATTTGTTGCTGGAAATGGACTAGAAACATTACCCTAAACTGTTTTGATGTTTTAAAGCTTGTTTTAGATGGTGTAATGTTTATGCTAATCCATTTACAATGGCAATTATTAAAATTACAAGTTTTTTTTTTAAGTGTAATTTTTGATTCTTGAAAGTGTTCATATTCATGTTCTTGAACTTATGAAGATTAGATGATCATAGGAATTGTTTGTAACCTTCATGGTAGTTTAATTCATGATCATAATGTGTTTTAATGGAGTCCATAACTTGTCCTCAAGTTATGGAAAACCAAAAGTCTCACTTTTATTAAAGCCATTAAAAGAACACAAGAGTTATAAAAATGAAGAGTCTTCATTTTTATTACTCAATTAATTCATAAGTTATAAGAAATGAAAAGTTTTGGAAGTCTACAAAACTTGCCCTCAAGTTTTGGAATATGTAAAGTCTTGATTAAAACTTTAGTTCCAACCCTTAGAATTTTAAAAGTTCAAATTCAACCCTTATACTTTATAATATTATAAGTTACTAATATATATATATGTATAACGTCAATTCGTCTTACCGCTAGTACGCCTCATTCACGAAGCCGGTCTATAAGGGGGGTATAAGGTTGTTGCCTATAAAATGGCAACTTAATGGGTGTCCACTCTCACCCACCGCTTCCTTGATCGGTGGAGGGTCGTTAGCCGAACGGGTAAGATAAGGACTTATAAATTCTCATTAAAAGTATGATGAATATTATAAAGTAACTAAATGCTTTTATTAAATTCCCAATCTTAGTTACTTTAGGAAAATGTAAATAAGGTGCTAATCCATGAAATTACACTTTACACTTTGTTTAAGTCGTTGGTGGAGCGTGTATGGTTAACCGGCACACTAACTTGGACTTAACAAGGTAGGTAAAGGGTGACTTAAGGTGTACCATAGCATCGGTGGAGCGTGTGTGGTTTACCGGCACATCGATTGAGTGATAAACCTTGAGGGTACCAAGTGATTTGCATGGTTACTTCACACCTCGTTTTGTGATCCTCGGTATCCCAGTCACAAAACTTGGAGGGCACACTCGAGATTGAAACATGCCTTTGAAAAGTTCATTGAATCTCAAAAGAATCTAGGAATTTCTAAGAACCAATTAAAAACCAATTATTTATATTTCGTTTTTCATGGTGGAAATTGGTGAATCGTCATTCACCTACCTTTCAAATATGTTATAGCTTGGATTACGGCATACCTCTTCTAAGTTATAATATATTGTGATTGGATCCTAGCCTTGATATTACATTTGGGTGTTTTATTAAGGACTCTCTTAATATCTAAACTAATCTTGTTCTCTTCTTTCAGATGTCTTCAAACAATGCTGCTTCTGGCTCTAATCCTAATGGCTCCTTTACCCTTATGAACTTGTGTGGGAAAGTCACTTTTGATGGATCCAACTTCAATGAATGGATCAGAAACATCAGGATGATTACCCGCTACGAGGACAAAGAATATGTCCTTGACAAGGAGCTTAAGGAGATTGATGAGACCACTGCAACTCCCGAGGAGATCGCTGACTTCCGGGCAGATGAAAGGGATGCTACAAAAGTGGCATGCATCATGTTGGCCACCATGACAGCGGAACTCCAAAAGTCCTATGAGGACTTCTACCCTTTTGAAATGCACCAAGATCTGATGGAAAGATACCATCAAAGTGCACGACAAGAGAGGTATGAAATCATATGCTCTATCATAACAACCATGATGAAGGACGGGGAATCCGTCACGAGCCACATGTAGAAAATGGAAAGGTATGTGGATCGGTTGCTGAAGCTTAATGTGAACTTCCCTGAGGAGCTTGCAATAGATATCATTTTGCACTCCTTACCATCGTGCTATGATCAATTCCGCATGACATATCACATGAATAAGGAAGAGGTCACACTCAGCAAACTTCAGGGACTCCTCAAGACCGCAGAAACAGGTCTTAAGGGTAAATCGGTTGTTAACACTCCTACTCCAAACTCTGCCCCGGTTTTGGCAATCGAGAAAGGTAGAGGGAAGAAGAGGAAGAGCTCTTCGAAGGGTACCAAGGCTAGGACCCTTGATGGCTCTTCTTCAAGTGGAACCAAGAAAGGTTTCGTCACTCCTTCTTCTGACCCAAAAGAGGCTGAATGCTTCTATTGCCATGAAAAGTCACATTGGAAGCGGAACTGCCCAAAATACCAGCAAGATGTGAAGGATGGGAAAGTTAAACCCAACCATGTTGGTATTTACACTATCTTATCTAATAACTCACCCCATTCTAACTCTTGGGTCCTTGATACCGATTGTGGTATTCATATATGTTCTGATTTGCAGGGACTAAGAAGAAGTGAGAATGTGGAGCATGGAAGAATAAACTTAATCATAGGGAATAGGAAAGCTTTACCTGTCACCGAGATTGGAGTTTATACTTTATTGCTAAGTAGTGGGTTTAGTTTAGATTTGAATAAGTGTTGTTATTCGCCAGAAATGGCAAGAAACATTATTTCCTTTCATGCATTGTATAAACAAGGTTTCACCTTTTCATTTGATAATGAAGTTGGTTCGATTAATGCTTTCTTTAATAATGTTCTTTATTTTAAAGCATTACCTTTTGATGGCATGTATGAAACTGTATCTGTGGTTGATAACTTAGGAAATAATGTATTGTGTATTGATTCTGTTAATAATAATAACTTGGATAAAGCATCATTATGGCATTGTCGTCTTGGACATATAAGCAAGAAACGCATAGGCCAACTCCAAAAGGATGGAGTATTGGAGTCATTTGACCTAAAGTCAGAT